ATCAGAAACTTCTTCTTCACGCGAATGGTGTCCACACTTAGCATTGAATAGCATTTGCGACATCTCTTCAGTTTGTATGAATCGCTTCCCAAGGAGTGGATCTGATTCTTGAGCGCTATCTCACGCATCAAATGGCCGTACAGTGAGACCAACCGGTGAGTGGACATCGATGTCGGTTCCAATTGCAGCAGATATTCAGACATCTGTTGCAGATATTGCATGCGTTTGCAGACATCCATTCAGTTGACGAGGATTTGTCTTCAATTGTCTTAAATTGTCTTCAATTTGACCACAATTTCAAATCGTCTGCAAAATGCTTTTTAAACATTTCATCACTAATTCATTGATAATAACATTGTATTTTGCATCGACATTATGATACCTTTACTTACAATGTGGTAATAATATTTGTTTACTTTATCTAAGTGTAAAAGGTACCAAATAAACTATGCAATTAATGCCGTTTTAAATGGGTTTATATTTTGTGTACAGATTATAGGAATAAATTGTAGACAAATTGTGTAGAAAACGAGTGTTTGTAGGGAACAAACGAATGCGTGTTTCCACGTGTTGTTGACTTTAAACAACAAACCGATCACTCAATTGACTCTTCATTTGGTTTGCAATCAATCGCTTCAGTGGTCATCAAAACAATGTCTCAATCGATGGACTCATTGTTCAGCGCTTCCAACGTCTTAATCAACGAAATCCAAGAGTCTTTGTTCCCGCGGTTGGAGTCACTGATCGCCAGCAACGACCAAAACAATGCATTGTCTGTGGAGTCGGACATCGAGTCCAAAGTGAAACAATTGGACACATATTGCGATAAAATGGAGATAATTGTCAACAAAAGCGGACCAAACGATAGGCCGCAGCAGAAGATGCGTTTGGATCAGTTGAGGTACGACTCGCGGCACCTGCTGTCGTCCCTCCGGAACTTACACCACCGTCGCGTTCAGAGGGAACGGGAGGAGAGGGAGAGAGAAGAGCTGCTGACCCGACGCTTCACCACCAACTCGGAGACCAATATAGCCATTGAGTCCTATTATGGCGACGAGAATACACGCCTCAAGTCATTCAACACCAACTTAGACGATATGATTGCCAGCGGATCCACCATATTGTCCGGTCTTCGCGACCAGAGGGGGTTCCTGAAGGGCGCCCACAAACGGCTCATCGATATCGGCAACACGTTAGGCATGTCCAACACTGTCATGAGACTCATCGAGAAAAGGGGTGTCACCGACAGGTATATACTCTTCGGAGGAATGATTATCTTCTGTGTGCTAATGCTTCTCATATGGAAGTACTTGACGTAACTTTGCGATCGTTTTATTGCTTTTAATTGTATTATAATTTAGTTTTTCTCCAAATGTTGTTGTTTTCTATGAATTGAATTCAAAGAATTATTTTTATGATCACTTTTTTATGGTAACTGTTATTGATATGTATTAAATGATTGTCGTATTTATTAGTTATTACCGGTATATACCGTATATTGTCTTACGGTATATGGTATTTATCATTAACTCATAAAAATATCTCATAATTTATTGATCATTTTAGTTATGTTTTTAATTATTCATGAATTCGTGAGTCACACTATTTTTAAGCCAATGTTTTATACAGTTATATGATAAAACGGTACTGGTACACTTTTCAACTGTTTTTTATTACCGGTTATTACAAAATAAATAAAACTCATTTCAATCTGAAATACACCGCAAAAGTCAATGCAATGAAGAGTACGAAAATCAAAACCAAATCCCATTTGTTTCCAAAATATTTCCTTAAGTCAAAGAAACTGAGAAATGTCTGCAACTGTTCAGTGGCTTTGAGTTTATGTTTGGCCAGAAAGACGGCTACTTTGGCGTCGCTGTCGACCTGAGCGGACATATCGTAGTAAATGAGAGCCATTTTGGTGTTCCGATGGACTCCTAAACCATTTTCGTGTAAAAAACCCAAATTGAAGAGAGCCGCAGATGAATACCGCAATTCAGACGCTTTGCGATAGTACTGAGCGGCCAAACCATAGTTGACAGGCGTTCCCATCCCGTAGTAATGATGATCACCGACTTTGATACGCGAGAATGACAAGCCTTGCGCTGCCGATTGAGTCCAGTATTTGACGGCAAGACTTTGGCGTTTATAGCCATCTATATCGAGACCATCGATGGCTTTATTTTCTAAAATGAAAGCACTGTTACTCTGAGCGCTTTCGTAACCCATATCCGACAGAAACGCGTATTTCATGAACGCCTGCAGGACTTTGTTATTCTTGTAGTGGTTGTCGGCTTCAGCCAATTCTCGAGACCAGACACCCCTTTCAGCCACTGATTTAAAGTGTGAAACGGCGGTCCGACACGATATGGCCACTCCATGGCCGCCGCCAAACAGTTGTCCCAAATGATAGACGGCTAACAAGTGCTGGGACTGTAAGGCGAGGGTAAAGAATCTGATGGCTCGACGGTAATCACGAGCGACACCCAAACCATTCATATACATGAGACCCAAGTTTACGATGCCTTCGACCCAACCCTGTCGTGAAGAGAGCGCGAAGTACTCGAACGCATCCTTGAAGTCAATGTCCACTCCTTTTCCCGTTAGAAACATGAATCCCAGACCTGCCTGTGCTATAGGATTGCGCTTTTGTGCCGACGCTTTCAATAATTGATAGGCTTTTGTGAAATTGTGTCCAACAGAAGGACTGCCCTCTAAGTAGATGTGACCCAAAAGTGCCAAAGCGTTTGCGTTTCTAGATTTGGCCGCAGTTTGCAAATAGTTGAGAGCTGTGTCCACATCCCTGTCCACACCAAATCCACCAAAATAGTAGAGTTGGCCTAAACTGACGCACGCATTGATGTCACCCTTTTTGGCCAAAAACTTGTAATAATCGATAAGATCTTTGTCGAGGTTTTGTATGACACGATCGCTTTGTCGCCACAAATGCTTATTTCTGATGACATGTCCGCCACTGACTCGGGAATTGTGGACAACACTTGTGGCCACACTATGATATAAGTGCTTTGCTTGACCACAATCTTCGTGGACATCCATGCCGTACATGTATTTGAATCCAACGGCCATTTTGGCCAAAGAGTTGTCCATATTTGCGGCTAAAGTGTAGTGCATTAGAGATTTGTGTGGATTTGAATGGACTCTCAAACCAATTGAATACATAAAACCTAAGAGCAAATGAGCGCCGGAACTCTCATTAATAGGTATACTTCGCAAGTAATTGAATGCTTTTCTGGGATTAAATGGCAAGTGATCTGCAAATATATGTGATCTCGCCATCAGTTCTTTGGCCTTTTGGTGGTCAAGTTGTGCCGATTCTTGCAATAGAGTGAAAGCAATCTTTTTATTGGCTGTCCTCGACTCCAACATCTCAACTGCCTTCTCGTATAAGTGGTCCGCCCTTTCATTAACATTGGTTCCTGGACCATTTGGTTCATATTTGCTAACTGTTCCGGCACAGTGTGCACTTGAACTGCAAGTTATGCTTAAAATCAGTGAAATACATAAAATATTGACAACTGAGACCATCATTTAGGGTGTTTCTCAACAATTCTGATTTTGTGTCTATTGAATGAATCAATTTAAATAAAATCATAGAAATAAAGCGGTTTAACAATCGAGTGATTGAATCGACTGATCGTTATCTAAATTGCATTGAAATCAATTAAATTTAATAAATTTAATTATTCTCTAAACTGACAGTTCGTAAGAAATCTTAACGTATTTAATAATCTATAGACTCTATAATAAATAGACACACTTCTCAAACACTTATATTTATATTAAGAGTAAATTCGGTATAAAATACATACAAATAGTTTAGATATTGAATTATGTTTCGAGATATCAATTGTATCCGAAATAGTGATCACAATACAACTTTAGCACAGGTTATACACACTTTAGACATTAAATATTAAGTCATACAAATTAACAGTAAAATATTGATCAATGAATACTTTATGTTTAATAAATAGATTTACGGAAAGGACTCGTTTGACAGATTTGGCGACGATTTGTGTCAACTATTACTGAGTTATCTGTCATTTGAAGATAAATACAGAAATGAATGTCTGTCCAAACAGATCAAACTATTGATCTTCAGCAGTGTTCGCCATCTAAATACTGAAGACATTTTAAAGGTAGTCATTAAAGACAACATTTGTGGCAAAAAGTTCTTTGACTTTTCAATCATCGACACAATAATCCAAAAGAATCCATACATTCAGCGAATAAGCTGTCGATTGACTGAACAGTACACGAGAGAAATGGTGGAAGTGATGGACCACTTGAGAGACAATTGTCTGCATTTAAGGCAAATTAATTGCCATTTTTAAAATTGGACAACAATTACAAATTTGATCTTTTTAATTGTATTTCAAGCGAGACATTGATTTTGAATGAATTATATTTACAATAAATGGGAATAAAGTTAAAGAATTTTTATTTCAATAAATCAATAAATAAATTGATGTAAAATAGAAATCATTTAATAATGAGAATAAAGACAAGAATTTGAGTGCTTTTAGTGATTGAATGTCTTGAAGGTAGACATCGATTGACGACTAGATGTGGACTAATTGATGACTAATTGACCACTTCTTCGGCCATTTCTTTGGTGTGTTTTAAAGTTATTATAAAATAGTTTTCAAACGAAATTCAAATGATAACTGATTTCACAATTTGTTGACAATTATCTCAATCGCACCAAAAGTCTAACCAATTATCAGAAGATTTCATAAATGGTTAACAAAAGCTCTAAAGAGAGGACAGTAAGAGAAGTGGAGACAAGAGTGGGACCAACTCTGATGGTAGTAAAGAGCCGGCGAAACGTCCGGAACTGATGGTCAAAAGCAATAGAAACTAATGGTGGACGGGTCGTCCGGTTTGGAAGCTACCGGTGCCACACTGATGGTTAGCACAAAACATCTTCGTCCAAGAAGTTACTCTCAAATTCTAACCATTCGGATAAGTTTTGAAAATTAATACAAACTGACGTTATTTGTGAATATAATACGATTGTTGTTGTGATATATTATTATATAATAGACCTTTATGATGAGCGCATAACTAATACGCCCGGCCGCCCAATCCTGTGCCCATTATGCCCGACACGCCTTAAAACTACTATTAAATAAGTTCCACGTGATTAATATATAATTAATAATAGCTAGTTATTAATTATATTTAATATAAAGTTTCCAAACTATACGGACATAATTGAACAGTTGTCCGCTATATGTCATAAGCCATATGCCATATACATAGACATATGCCATATGTGATAATCGTCTGAAAGGCGCAGACGTTTGTCTGACTCTAATAATAACAGATGAGTTGAGTTGGCATTTCTGGACGATTGTCGACAGATTGAGACATCAAGTGATCAAATGAATGCCGATTCCTATATCCATAGCACAGAAGCGGACGTAAAGGACGTACAGATGGCTGTGGAAGGAGTGGGTCTGTGGGCTCTCATCAGTGACTTAATCCCGGATGAGATTGAAGTGATGCTCAACTCATTTGCCATCTCTGCTCACGTCGTGGTCTTCACATTCATTATATCGTTGATGTGGTGCTCAACCAAAGTATTAGTTTCTGTGATCAATGGCTGCAAACAAGACAATCACTTAAGAGGTATGTGACAGACATAAGACAATTGATGTCTAAAGTGTTGATCCATTTGACAGACATTTATAACAAAAGCCAACGAAAAGTGTATTACTTTGAGGCCGAGAGAGAAAAACTGGAGAAAGAGGTGACCGCAGAGAGAGATAATGTATGTGTTGTGGGCTTAGGGTTAGACCATCTTAGGGGTAGACCATCTTAGGGGTCGACCATCTCATTGCTAACACTTGTGTCCACTCTTTAGGCCCAAAGAGCGCTCGAAAAGTTGGACTCAATTGAGCCGAAAGTGCAGTCATTGGAGAAGCAATGCTTCAGTTATAAGGTATGAATACAGGCCTCAAACCACTCACTGATTGTCATCTGATTGTCTTCATTGCAGTCATTGAACCAACAAATGCACCAAAAGGTGACTGAATTAGAGGCAGAGCTCGAGAGCGCCTCAGAGGCAGCGCTGGAAGCGAACCGACTGTTGAGTGACTTCTTGACGTCGCAGAAGGAAAACGTGAGTTTGAACTCAAGTGTCGACGCATTGCAGCAACAGATCACTAGACAGACAGACATTGTCTCGAAAGTGGAGGCAAACGCCAAACAAAAAGAGAGAGAAGTAATGGTTTAGTCATTGATAGAAAGTATTGTCATTGAAATGAATTGCATTTTGTGTCCAGAATTTAGAGCTCAAAGAGAGAGCCGACAAAATGGGCGCTGAATTGGAGAGACTGAAGACTGTCCTCAAAGACACTGAACTTAATTTAGAAACCTTTCAGAAGAATAACGAAGAGTTAAAATCATCCAAAACTGAACTCAATTCGAGTTTCAATGAATTGGAAGAACAATATTCTAGTCTTCAGATCAAAGCCGACGACTATAAGGAGAGAAACGATGAACTTATGGATGACTTCCAGAAATTGAGTCAAGAATTGGAAAGTCTTAAGGAAGAGACCGCTCGTAAAGAATTAGAAATCGAGTCTTTCAAAGATATTTTGTCGAAATTGAGACGACATTCGAGACATTCCTCGGGTAAAGACAGTGAAGTGGATGGAGATAATGAAGATAATGAAGATAATGAAGATAATGAAGACGACGACCAAATCGATAGTCAAGAGAATAATAATAAATGTTTGACTGATGTATACGATATCGTAGAAATGGATCTAAAACTTAAAAATATAACAATCGATAAAAACTCATTGACTCTACAACTGGAAAGTATGAGCAAAACGTGTGAACAACTGAACAATCAATTGAATGCTTTGGAGACCGAAAACAATGCATTTAAAGCCGAGTGCGAAGACGCGGTTCGCCTCAAACTTGAGGCGCAAACCAAGTTAGAAGTGTTGACCAAATATTATAAGGAAAAGGAGATAGAGTTCGGCAAAGAGATAGGTGTGGAGCACATCCATCGGCGCCAGAAGGAAGAGGACGCCAACTCAATGAGCACTCAATTGGGTGTCATTTTCGAGGAGAACACATCGCTTAGGAGTCAATTGGAGTCGATGAAGACGGAGGTCATGGACTCGGAGAGCAAATACAAGAAACAGATCACTTCACTGGAGAAACAGGTGCACGAGAACTGGGTGTTGGCGCGCACTGCCCAACGAGCACTCGATGAGTCCAAAGCAGAGGCCACTGCACTCCGGCAGACGCTTACGATGTCTGTCAAGTCGGCCGACAGTTATGGTCCCGACTCTTCATTTATGGACGACTCGGCCAGTTCTGTGTCCTCATTGGCCGACCATTTCGGACAAATTCTACCACCAATTCCACCGCCACTTCCACCCCCACCACCTATGCTCAGTCCACTCATGCCTCCGATGCATATGCCTTACAACGAAGGGCCCGAATCGATGCCATACTGGGCCCACAATCCGATGGCCAATCCCATACCCAATCCCATACCCAATCCATACCAACAAATAAGCCCTTACGTGAACTCCATGCAAAGTAATGGTGCCAATGCTAACAACCCAAACGTGTCGTACGAGTCTATGCCCATGAGCTCACAACCAGCTCCACAACACTGGGACTCGGCATCAAATCGTGACACTTATACTCCACACTCTCACCGCTCCAATGCATCCCAACACTCACACCAATCATATAATGTTATGTATTCGCAGCCTAACAGTGAGTACACGAATCCTATGGCAACTATGAACTCGATGTCGAGTCCAATACATCATTCAATGGCCAATCATTACGAGCCTTCCGTGCAATCTGTGAATATGATGTCAGATGTGACCCATTCGTTGCCATCGATTGGCAATGAATCCAACTTTAATTATAACAATCAGTACAATGAATCTGCTGTGTCTTCGCTGTCCACTTCACGCAACGATAACTCTTTGCATAAGTCTATAGTTTGAATGAATTCTCATTTGTTTGTTAATACTTTAGAGAATATATTACTATTTATGAAATTATTACATTTATTAAATATATTTTATTATACTATATTACCATGATCAATAAAAAAATGGATTGAATATTCTATATACCGCATGAGTGAGCCTTTTAATTGGTGACTTTATTAGGCCACTACTACCACCACTACCACCTTGGTCAGGTGGCATGTATTATACAGTATATGTACGGTAAACAACAATGAGTTAAAACTACTGTTAAAAACAATGTTAAAATGTATTAATAGTAAAGCATAGATCGGGTGGTTGTGTGGTATGTCTGTCGGTGTGTCCAGTGGTGTCCTATTTGCCGATGCGCTGCACAATCCAGTCCTGTTGACAGAGCGGACACCTGTTGTTCTGTTGGACCCACAAAGACATACAGCAGTTGTGGAAAGAGTGGTTACATTCGCCCCAAACCACGACACAGTCGTCCGACCGGTTCTCCGACTGACACCGAAGACACGCGTCCATCACTTGCACGCGACATATGGCACACGTGTCGCACTCGCAATCCCACGACCACATCGCACAGCAGTTCCACTTCTTCACCACAAACGTCTTCTCGCGTCCGCCAGTCTGTCCGCCCGTCCCGCCCGACGACACACCATTCACGCCGTTCTCGCCGTTCAGGCCATCATTGCCCGACACCATCGCCTGATCGCTGCTCTCATCCAAGTCCTCACTCATCGCTTCCGACCACTAATTGTCTCCAAAGTATTCAATGATTTCTTCGGATCAACACAAATGCCAAACAAATCGTTGAGTCATTGAGTCATAAATAACGGCTAACTTTGCATTCATAGACCCTTTCCAAGTGACATAAGTTTGGAAATTTATAAATTATAATACATTTGAAGTTATTTTCACTTTTAAGTTAAATGTTTTAATCGACTATTTAGTTACCAATCATTTGCATATCATTTGCATATCATTGTAACACTTCCATCATTTGCATGTTATTGTCTCAATCACGACAAGTCTTTGATTGATCCCAATTCCAGTACAAAAATGCTTTTTAATCAAAACATTTTATTTTTAATTTTATTACTAATCGTTACAATACAGTAGATTTGTCATAATGTTTACAATAAATTGTTTAATTTGTTTTAAAATATGAGCCAAATTTAGTTAATAAATCAAACGGACATTAGCAACTGATATACAAAAAGTACACCGTTTTTGTAAGTTTCTTAAAGACTATGACTGAAAAGTTTTAATTAATTTTGTTAATAAAAAGTTTGTAATATAAATATAAAATGTAGATTTGAGTTCATATCTTATTTTAATTGACAATTAATTTTGTGAAACGGATGACCAGAAAATAAAAACTAAATACAAAATTGATTTTAAAGTTTTGCTCTTAAAGTTTATTTCTTCAACTTCTGCGGCAACTCTTCCAACGACTTCTTGAGGTCTTTGTGCATGTCTTTGATTGCGGCCACCATTTCCTTATTGGACTTTTCGGTCGCTTCTTTGGCCTCTTTTATCTCATCCACTAATGTGTTGGTGTTGTGTCGCAACTGATCCACAATTTCGCTGCAATACTGATCCGTATCATCGCTCGGGTGGGCCATACCCTCCACCTGAACGCCTCCCCGACGACCAGTCCGGTGACCACCCCTTCCGGTAGGTCCGCCCGCTTCGGTCATCAGTGTGTGGAGCATCAGTTGCGCCACAAAGTTGTCGACCTCTGGATGCTCTTCATCTCCCGGTGCCGTCGGTTCCAATGCTATCTCAATACGTGCTGAGCGTCGACCCCTCGAGGCTTTGAATAGGGTTTTGGCAAACTCGTCCTCACCATCAGTGGCACCGGTAGATCCCAAACCGGGCGACCCTTTGGAAGCCGATTGGTTTCTATTGCTTTTGAAGATCAGTTCCGGACGTTTCGCCGGCTGTTTACTGTCGTCAGAGTTGGTCCCACTTTTGCCTCCACTTCTCTTACTGTCCTCTTTAGAGCTTTTGTTAACCATTTATGAAGTCTTCTGATAATTGGTTAGACTTTTGGTGCGATTGAGATAATTATCAACAAATTGTGAAATGAGTTATCAATTTAAATGATTTAAATTGTGATTTTGGTTTTCTCGAGATTTATAGCAATGAATTAATTATGGGATTTGAAAATATGTAATCATTTGTAATAAACAGCTAATTGTTGTTTAGAGAGTGAAAGAGGAGATCACAAACAGTTGTGGCAATCAGTGTGTGGACAGGCGCTCAACTTCAACCACAACAACCACCACCAAAAGGACAGCCAAAATGTCAGTCAATATTGGGGAATGGGATACAAAAATGGACGAAACGTCGGACGCGAGTGCTCTCGAGAAGCTCTATACAGACATGAAGGGCGAGCTAAAGGAGAAGCCGTCCAATCCGGACGTGTTGTGGCGTTTGACCAAAGCTTGTCTTTTGCTAAGCGATAGCATCGACGATAAGAAACGCCAGAAAGAGTTGATAGACGAGGGACTGGTCTCTGGCAAGAAGTCGTGTGAAGTGAACCCTAAGAGCGCGTTGTGTCACAAGTGGTACTGTGCGGCCATCGGAAGGGTAACCAAATTCTGCGGCAGTAAAGAGAAGATCAAATACGGCCAAGAATTGAAGCAACACTTAGACATAGCCCTCTCACTCTCACCCAACGACTACTTACTGCACCACATGTCCGGCCGATTCGCTTATGAGTTGTCATCGCTGTCGCGGTTTGAGAGGACTATTGCCAACACAATCTTTGGTTCGGTTCCGGAGTCCAGCTATGATATAGCCCTCCAGGAACTGTTAGCCTGCGATCAATTGAAGCCCAATTGGAAAGACAATTACCTCTGGATTGCGAAGACATATCTCGCGAAGAAAGATAATGTGAACGCAAAGGATTGGGTGAATAGAGGGCTGGCATTGGAAACAAAGGATAAAAGGGACGAAGAGGCCAACAAAGAGTTAACTAAACTTAAAAGTAGTCATCAATTTTGATATTTATTCGCATTAAAAGAAAAATGAAATAAATTTAAATTTGTAAAGTTATGCCTCGATTTACAATATCCTTTATACAGTATTTAAAAATAGTTATAACTTTAAATAACTCTTTTATATGTGTTTCACTACATTTTGAACTAAATATCTACGAAATATTGAATTCGTGAGCGATTACAGAATATTCTGTACATAAGTTCATAAGACTACAGAATATTCTGTATATAAGTTCATAAGACGTGTGACTGTAATGGAGTCGAGAGATGTCGCTCTAAATGAGTGGAAAACCGGTCGAAAGCGTTGAGTGAATTGAGTTTGTGTTGAGTTTTATGGCATTTAAACGCAAAACATGTGATTATTTGGGTTTTGAGGATATATTTGCCATTTGTTTGCATTTCATTTGATTAACCGATTCGTGAACGAAGACCAAGAAGTGGACACAAGAATGGGATTCATATTAACCAGAAGTCGGCGAAAGTACTCGCAGTTTGTGTCTCTGGTTTTGGCGACAAATCTAGTGATGGCTTTGATCCTCGAGATATGTGTGGTGTCCGTGGAGTCGAAGTTGGCATCGGATCAGACCTACGAAGACAATGAGTTCGCAGAGTTCGAGGACATGGACGAGGAGTCGGGCCCAGCGGTGGCCGACGGGGGCCCACGAGATGCTAATACAAAGGGTCCTAACGTGAGCCCCACCGCCGATGACGACAACGACAACTCGTTTCAGGAAAACCAATTCAAAGAGTCGGACGAAAGCGAGTCGACGGTTGAGGACGAGGACGACGACGAAGAGTTTGAGAACGTGTCTGAATTGGAGGACAATAGCGAGCGAGTGGTGGACACGAGTGGTGCAAATGGGGGCAAAAAGCCTGACCTGAAGATAACGAAAGTGCCGCTTCATCTGCGCTCCAATTGGGAGTCCTATTACCTGGAGTTCCTGTTCATCGCCGGTTTGGTGGTCTATTTCATAAACTTCATCGCCGGTAGGAATAAGAACCACAAGATGGCCGACACGTGGTTCGATGTCCACAAAGACCTCCTGTTTGCGAACTTTGCGTTAGTGGGCGACGACGGCAAGAAGGAGATCGAGAGCTCCGGACTCAACAAAGAGACCGAAAGTGTGTTCACGTTGTGGTGCAGTGGAAGGGTATGCGTCGAAGGGATGTTAGTTGAGCTCAAGTTTCTTAAGCGTCAAGACTTAGTCAACGTTTTGGCCGATTATTTCAAGCCCTCCACCGATCAGATCGTGAGTTAAATGCTCTCATTTCGGGAGCATTTCAATT